GAATAAACTAGATCTCTCTTAATTTATTCTACAAGCAATTGTAATTCTAGCCGCGGTTCCTGTTCACAAAAGATATCAGTTAAATTATTCATACACAAATTAAACGGCATTCATGCAATTAATCCATCAAGAAACTAGCCATACATCATGATTAGCCCCTTCATCAATCCCAAATCCCTAATTAAAACTACTCACAACTCATAATTGAAGAATCAACAGATTTAGGATGAATAGAAATAACAGTCATAAATTAAAAGGATAGAACTTACAAAGAATTCCTTAATCTTAAAGAACAAGGCTAGAAAAGTTCTCAAAGTCGAAATAAGGTTTATCTTTGTCAGCTCATAAATCAAAAACAGGCAAAACATGAGCCTATTTATAGAAAATCCGAAAACAGGCCGAAAATTGGACCGCACGTCGTGCGGGTACGCGCGTGCGTTTCTTGTCTTCGGCTTTTACTCCGCCCGCACGGTGTGTGGCCGACCGCACTATGCAACCATGCGGGTACTCCTGGGGGCTATTTATGGACCGAGGTTTCGGTCGCCGCGCGCGGTGTGCAGTTTCGTCCGCGCAGTGTGTGATTCAGACCGCTTAACGTACTTCTTGCTCTCGGAATCACCCGCGGGGCGTGCGGAACCGACCCGCGGGGCGCGCAGACTGCTCTAGAACCGTTTTCTTGCTATTTTCTTTCCTGTTCGTTCACGATTGATCCTATCTTGAATCTTCAACCTTCCCAGCCTCAAATCATGCCTTTAAATCATCCTGTGTACCTCTGATGCCTCTCGCTAGCTCTCGAACATATCCTGAATCTTCTCAACTTTAGCTCAAACGCCGATGTCGGGTCTAAATTCCTGATTTTCTCAACAAATGCAATCCAAACCCGGTAAACCGTGACTTGAGCTAATTAAACACTTTGTGACTCAAATAAATTAGGAAAAGTGACAAAATTCAATCCCAACACGCATCAAATGCGTGTTGAAATACGAACTTATCAATGGTTTTGCTGAATCTTTGATTAAACGATTACAATTAATCGCTAGACCATTGTTAATGAAGTGTAATTCACCTTCATCAGCTTGGGGACATGCTATTTTACACGCAGCAAACTTAATTCGGCTTAGACCGACTGCATATCATGAATATTCCCCAATGCAATTAGTTACTGGGCAGGAGCCAAACTTAGCACACATAAAAATATTTGGTTGTGATGTTTATGTTCCGATTGCTCCGCCTCATTGTACTAAACTGGGTCCTCAAAGAAGGTTGGGAATTTATGTTGGATTTGAATCTCCCTCAATAATCAAATATCTTGAACCGATGACTGGTGACTTATTCACCACACGATTCGTTGACTGTCATTTCAATGAGACAGTATTCCCGACCTTAGGGGGGAAACTAATAAATCATACCCAAGTACGAAACAAATAACATGGAATGCAACAAGATTATCACACCTTAATTTTAGAACAAATATATGTGAAGACGTGCAAAAGATAATTCATTTATAAAATGTTGCAAATCAATTGCCTGATGCATTAACAGACACAAAGAAAGTGGAAAAGTCACATATACCTGCTATGAATGCCCCTGCCAGAATCGAAATCCCAACAGAGAATTCTGAAAAATCTCTTGCAAATGATTCTTTTATACGCAAAAAGCGTGGCAGGCCACTTGGATCCAAAGACATAAAACCAAGAAAAACTAAAAGGCAGGAATCTATATGTGATGCCAAAGATGTTCATCCTTCTGAACAAAAAAAATGAACAATTTGAAAATAGTGGCATAGAAAATGATATTGACAAAACAAACATCTCAAACGATGATCTGACTTTCTTAAATGAGGAAGATATTCCAGATACTAATAGAAACGTTGATAATTATGAAATTTCAATAAATTACGTTTCTACTTAAATGCAATGGAATCGAAAACATATTGATATTAATGAGATATTTGTCTATGCCGTTGCCACGAATGTTATGAATGAAAACAATGACAATGAGCCAACATCAATTGAATAATGTTGGAAACGACATGATTGGCCAAAATGGAACGAAGCTATTCGGGCTGAATTAAAATCACTTGAAAAACGTGATGTTTTTGGACCGATAGTCCCTACGCCAAAAGGTGTAAAACCAGTGGGTTTTAAATGGGTATTGGAGCGTAAACGTAATGAGAAAAATGAAATCGTAAGATATAAAGCCCGACTTGTTGCTCAAGGTTTTCTCAAATGCCGGGAATTGATCATGAAGAGACCTATTCTCCCATAGTTGATGCAACTACATTAAGATTTCTCATTGGTATGCCTATTTTTGAAAGGCTACAAATGTGCCTAATGGATGTAGTGACCGCCTATCTCTACGGTTCACTTGATACAGACATTTATATGAAAGTTCCAGGTGGACTCAAAATGCCCGAATCTTACAGCTCGAAACCTCGAGACATGTTTTCCATTAAATTACAAAAGTCATTGTATGGACTAAAACAATCTGGACGAATGTAGTATAATCGTCTCAGTGAAAACCTTCTCAAAGAAGGATATAAGAATGATCCAATTAGTCCATGTGTTTTCATTCAGCGACCAAACTCGGGATTCACCATAATCGGCAGTATATGTTGATGACTTGAACATTATTGGAACTCCCTATAAAATTGAAAATACTACAAATTATCTTATGAAAGAATTTGAAATGAAAGATCTTGGGAGAACCAAATTTTGTCTCAGACTTCAAATTAAGCATTTGAAGAATGGAATTATCATCCATCAATCCAATTACACCGAGAAAGTCTTGAAGGGATTCTATATGGACAAAGCTCGTCCTTTGACCTCACCAATGGTGATTCGATCTCTCAACATACACGATGATCCATTCCGTCCCCGAGAAGACAACGAAGAAATACTTCATCCCGAAGTACCATATCTGAGTGTAATTGGAGCTTTAATGTATATAGCTAATAATATTAGACCAGATATTGCATTTTCTGTAAATTTATTAGTTAGGTACAGTTCATGTCCAACAAGGCGTCATTGGAACGGGATCAAACACATATTCCGTTATCTCTGTGGTACAATTGATCTCGGCCTATTCTATGACCAAGATGCAAAAGCCACTTTAATCAGATATGCAGATGCCGGATACTTATCAGATCCTCAAAAGGCGAAATCACAAACTGGGTACGTATTTACATATGGTAACACTGCAATCTCATGGAGGTCTATGAAGCAAACATTGACGGCTACATCATCAAATCATTCGGAGTTAATTGCACTATATGAAACCAAAAGAGAATGTGTGTGCCTGTGATCTATGATTCAACGCATCCAAAACGAATGTGGTATGAAACCTATTACTTTTCACCCTATTGTGTGATCTACGAAGACAACACTACGTGTATAGCTCAAATTAAAGAAGGTCACATCAAAGGAGACAGAACGAAGCACATATCACCAAAGTTCTTCTCTACTCATGATCTGGAGAAAGAAGGAATGATCAACATTCAACAAATCAGATCCAGTGAAAATCCAACCGATCTCTTCACCAAATCTTTACCCCCGAAGAAGTTCATAGAACTTGCACTAGTGGAAAAACACATTTTATAACGGTTAAAATGACATTTTATAACGGTTCGGGAGCCGAAATGGATTCCGTAGTTATAGAAACTCAAACATATTTTATAACGGGTACGACAACCGTTATAAAATGCTTTCAACATCGGGTGTGGCAGAACCGTTATGGAATGTGTTCTGCACACTGCATCTTAGTAACAGATATTTCATATGGGTTGCAAAACCTAACCGTTATGGAATATCAAGATCAGTTCAATTTTAACCGTTATTGAATGAGGTTTCACCCTGATATATATCCAATACATATTTACGATGATTTTTCTTACAAAATGATCATTCAATGTCATTCACAAACAACCACAACATACAAAAATCATACTACGTATATAAACGGCAATTTAATATTAATCATACTAAGGAAATTTGATCACAATATCATTTTACACCAGCAAAATTCAAAAAAAGTTGGTAACAAAGCTGCATTTCAGTTTTAAATATGTTAATAATATTTTCTACTAAATGCTAAATACTACTACGTAGTTGCTTCGCAGAAAAACCAAGCCCAACGCTCTTGAATCTCGTTGATATCTTCTTCAGTAAACGGATCTTGAACGTTGAATGTCTACAAGTTGAATAAAAGCAATAAACGAGTAAATAATAATGAAGTAGAAGAAATAAACAAAATACAATGATCTTATATTTAATCACCTCCATCCGCATGAATCCACAACACTAGCACAAATAATAGTTGACATGTGCCGCATCACATAGTAACCACATTCGTAACTTCCCCTTTGCATTTGACACTATAAATAATTAAAGGTACCAAGTCAATAATATTACATACTATAAAATGAACAACAACACAGCCTTGATTAAATAAACTGAAACTTAAATCAATAAAATTACAAATTGAAATACCAATAAACTGCAAACTAGAAAGCTAATAAGGTGCAAACTGAAAAAGAGGAAATATTAAATAAAGTGAATATTTGAAATGTATTTTTTTTGTATAAGACAAAGCATAATTCATTTTATCACTTCACTTAATTCAATATAATCAAACAATTTTAGCTGCAAACTGAATTTATAAACTTCAAATTGAATTAATAGATTGCACCGTGACTAATAAAATCAACAATTGGATGCACTGCACTCTTTTTTCCTTCATCGGATTTTTATCTCATTGAGTTTTTTCTGATAAGGTTTTTAACGAAACAGTACATCTAAATACAACGACATTATAAATCATAATCTTTACCCCTTAATTTTTTTTGACCTGTGAAACCACCTTGAAGGTGGGGTAAATGACGGGTGACATTTACCTAGATTTATTACCAAAGTGAAGAACCAAATTTAAGTGTTACAATGCAACAGGAAGGGTACAAATAACACCCCCCCCCCCCCCCCCCCCCAACGACTTCTATTATCTCAATTTCGCCTCTAGAAGAACACCCCCCTTAGAGCAGCGGTAAAAATAACAATTCACCAACGGGAGACCCCTTTCACAATGCTACAGATGCTACACTTATCAAGGACTCAGATAGTCAGAAAAGCTCAGTTTTTTTGGACAGGAAGGGTTTGACTGAATCAAAATTGAGTCAAAAATATTCAAATTTGCTACGAGGAATAATGAAATCATTATTCTTGAAATAAAAAAAACGATGATGCACAAGATTTCTTTCAGATTGGACCGGTGCCCTAAAATCATCCAGTTCATTTCACAAATTTCCGATGCTAATTGCAATCAACGCAAAAAAAATTGGAGCTATCACGATCTCCTCAGAAATCAACAAAGCTGGCAGCTTCTTGCAAAGGAAAAGGGGAGCTTCATTCTTATCCCCATGGGGCCCCAAAAATCCAACATGTTTAAATTCATTACTATCCTTTCTAATTTTGCAGGGTTCCAAAAGTCTATGCAGGACGACTCGATCTCCTTTCAACATTGGAGTACTTTTGAAACAGAGGATCCTACATCCATATCTAAATTGATTTTTAATTTCCAAATTGAGGCAGCAAGTACCGAGAAGCAATTGATATACTCTCTAGAGAAACAACCCAAATTGACACCAATTCAGGCTTACTCGGACGCCTCCGATAGTTTTGACTACTCTGATGACTCCTTCTCAGACGATTATTTGGGACATGCAACCGAAAGCGAACGTCGTCCTCCTATATCAAACCAGGAAGAAATTAGGAACACGAAATTCAATAGAGCGATTTGCCAAAAAGCAAATTTCGTTACCACGGAAAACTACATACCAACAGAGAATCTGAACATGCAACTTAAGATTTATATGAAATCTCAGAAGAATAAGAGACGCCACAGCATGACGACTAGATCTCAGTCTAGAGATTTTTCTTGGGATTAGCTTTACTCTTTTGGTTCTTTTTTATTTATTTTCTTTACTTCGACTTTCTTTTTCTCGCATTGTACTACTTTTGGTTATCAATAAAATCTTATTTCCTTAAAAAAGGAATGGTACAAAAACAAAAGGGCCGTATACAATGAAAAGAAAAAATCGGTAAAAAGCTTGGTGGGCCGAGTGGGTTCCGTTTTTTGCTTCCGTCCAAAGGGAATTATTCTTTGAAAGATGCTATGTGTACACGCCGGTTACACGGCGGTGTACACATCTTAAAAAGTCCCACCCCCTCTTTCTGACCCACCCCACTTTCGAATTAATCCTCCCCACTTCCCTCTCACTCCCCTCTTTCCTCTCCCTCCCTGCGCCCAAATTCCCTCTCCTTCTCTTCCTCTTTTCTTTTTTCTTCTCTCCCTCCCTGCGAGCAGTGGCGGATCTAGGCATCGGAGCTCAGTGTATGCACATATTAATATGGATATTACATTATTAATATAGTACTCCCTCCATCCCTGAAAAAACTTTCTTTCCTTTTTGAGTGTCCCAAAATAAATTTTCACTTACTTTTTTCCGTAAAGAATTTGTGGTTCACAACTCTGACATATTCTTACACATTCCTCTATCTGTTGCACAACCTACTACCATACAATATTCACTATCTTAATCCCCGTGTCATTTGCACTATGGAAGAAAAATTAGGAAGGGAGGAAGTATTATACTAGCTCGAAAATGAAAAATTAAACTCCAAATGCAAAATTAGTTATTTCCCCCCTAGTTACAAATACTGCCGCATCTGGTAAATGTGTGGTATCTAAATAACTTTAATTCCCCCCTAGTTATTTTTATTTTCTTCTAAACTCTAAAAAAAACTTTAGCTCAAGTAAATATGTGACATCTAAGAGTGTACAAATCTATTGCAGCTCTGGTGCTAGTCCTTCGCAACTTCTCAGAGTTGATTGTTATAGTAATAGTAATGATTCAAACAAATGAAACAATAATAACAATAATTATTATAATTATTATCTAATAAGGCTTAAAAAAAAACTGGAGCCTAGAAAAGAATCACGCATACGAGGGTGAAATGGGTTAGAATTTGTAATTTTGATTACTTAGTACAAAATCTTCACATACGGAGTACATATCTTAAACTCCCACTCTCACAAGATTAAAATGGCATGCAAAAGGCTCAAAAGTACCTAAAATTTTAAAAACCACCACGTGAAGCCCCAAATAGGGTTCGAACTCTTAACCTGAAGCCTAGAGGAATTTCATTTTTTGCTAACACAACCACAGAGGCTAGTAACAATTTTTGAGGTGAAGCCCATGCTCACCCTTATTATACTATAGATCCGCCCCTGCCTGCGAGTGCAATTTTGTTCACCCCTCCTTGGAAGGTGAACATAACCCCCTCCCTATTTGCTTGCCATGTGGCAAAAAAAGAAATAAAATGTCAAATGGCAACATTTGAGTTATGAGGGTGATGTTCACCCTCCAATGAGGGGTGAATAAAATTGCACTCCCTCCCTGCACCCAAGTTCCTTCTCCCTCTTTTCCTCTTCTTTTTTCTTTTCTACCCCTCCCTGCACCCAACATTCTTCAGCCTCTTTTCCTCTTTCCTTCTCCCTCGTAAATAACTCCTCTCCCTTTCTTCATCTTTTTTCTTTTCTTGTTTTCTTCATTTCAAAAGCTATCACTTTTTTTGCAGATCTGAATCCGTACAGAAAAACAAGAGGAGTCACAATTGAATCTACTTTGCTCTCTCAAATATTATTCATGAGGTAATACTTTATTTGCATTTAGGGTTATATTTTTTCCTTTTTTTAATGTTATTTATACAAAATATGTTGTGGTGATGTTGATGAATGTTTATTACAATATAATATTAGTATGGATTTGTTATAATTTAAAATTTTATTCAACCATTATAGCTCACTTTTATGCCTAATAAGTGTTTGTTGAAATGTTTCAATGAGATGTAACTATGTATAATTGATTTTTAACTTTAATTCAGTTTATGGTTTTACTGAGATGTCTGTGTAGTGTGTTGTTATATGTCTGTGCATTTTTTAGTTGTCTGTGCGTTTTACCTGAGACGTCTGTGTAGTTTGTTGTTATACGTTTGTGGATTTTATAGTTATCTTTATGGTTTTCCTGAGACGTCTGTGTAGTGTGTTGTTATATGTTTATGCATTTTTTAGTTGTCTGTGCGTTTTACCTGAGACGTCTGTGTAGTTTGTTGTTATACGTTTGTGGATTTTATAGTTGTCTTTATGGTTTTCCTGAGACGTCTGTGTAGTGTGTTGTTATATGTTTATGCATGTTTTAGTTGTCTGTGCATTTTACCTGAGACGTCTGTGTAGTTTGTTTTTATACGTTTGTGGATTTTATAGTTATCTTTATGGTTTTCCTGAGACGTCTGTGTAGTGTGTTGTTATATGTTTATGCATTTTTAGTTGTCTGTGCGTTTTACCTGAGACGTCTGTGTAGTTTGTTGTTATACGTTTGTGGATTTTATAGTTATCTTTATGGTTTTCCTGAGACGTCTGTGTAGTGTGTTGTTATATGTTTATGCATTTTTATTTGTCTGTGCGTTTTACCTGAGACGTCTGTGTAGTTTGTTGTTATACGTTTGTGCTTTTTTGAAGTGTCTACACAGACAATATTTTTGAACGTTTTTGCAAATATGTTTTAAAATGTATGCAAATGAATGGAATTGGGTCTGTTCTTTTGCACGTTCTTTAGGCTTATATAACTTTAAATATAGCTTTATTATGTTTTTAGGCTAACCGCAACCCAGCACGTCAATAAATCTAATCTCACACCTTTTTATATGTATTAACTCAATCAATTCAGTTTTTTCCTGCAACCCAACACTGTCAATGTATTCACTCCGCACTTTTTTTTATATTTAAAGGGAAAATCGCATATATGGTCCCTCAGTTATCCACGAAATTAAAATCTCAGACTTGTATTTCTGAGATTGTAAATGTCACCCCTCAGTTGTCCAAATTTTTGTAAATGTGGTCCTTTAAGTAGTGAAATATTTTCTCGCCCACATTGTATATTTCACCCCTCAAAAGGACCACATTTACAGCATTTTGGACAATTGAGGGGTGACATTTACAATCTCAGAAATACAGGTCTGAGATTTTAATTTCGTGGATAACTGAGGGACCATATATGCGATTTTCCCATATTTAAATGCAAAAATCCTTACATTTTTTTTATTTTACATCGTTTATGTGACAATTTTATTTTTACCAATAATTATAATTTAAAAAGTCAAACATTTCGATGTAAAAATAAATAAATTTAGAGTTTAGTTTTTTTTGTTATTTCGTGCTTATATTTAAAAAATAATAATGCATGAGATATTCTTTTTAGTTTTTAACATTTGGATCTACTTAAGAATAATTTTGAACCTAAATATTTCTATCGGATAAAACATCACATTTTTTTAACTTTATATATATATGATATTGGTGTCATATGAAAGATTATAAAAAGTTATACATTTTGATATATTATTTATAAAAAATTGAATCATTAATAAAAAAGTTATACCATTTTTAAAAAATTTGGGATTTTAATCTTTCATGCAACTCACATTTTTTCTTAATTTGCTGCAGACACTAAGAAAGCTATTTTTTTTCTCTCTCCAAGAGTCAATCCACCGGCTATATCCCCACCCAAGGGGTTTCCCCAACCCACTACAAGACCTTGCTATACTCTTTTTAGCTTGGGTTGCTGCTCAATTTGGGGTGAAAACCTCAAATTTGGGTTTCCACCCCCTTGCATTGCGGATAGCCTTAGGCGGCACATATAAGCCTAAATGGATGCACATTCAGGTTTAATAGTTGTAATGATTTTTATTTTCTTGACAGGAACTATTTATGCTCTTTGCATGGCGGGGATAATGAACCTTCGAAACATGTGTTTACATGTTTGCATGAGAGCTTCAAAGCAAAGGATAATAAAGGATTTATGTTTGTAATTACTTATATTGTAAATTTAATGTTTTTACATTTGGAATGATATTGTATTTGGAGTAAAGTAAAAGTTTTTACATTTAGAATGATATTGTATTTGGAGTGATTTTATTCTCAAAGATGTGTGTTTTTGTCGTGTGAGAAAGAAAACGACTTTCAATATTGGTGAAGTAAATTGTGTTTTTAAACAATGTTGAATTATGAAAGGTGAATTAGTAATCTTACTCTCATTATGGATGTAAATCATGCAAAATATATGTGTATTTGTAACCAAACACTACATATCATGTTCACAGACAACTTCACTTACCACATAAGCCATTTCTATGGCTATTGTCTGTGACTACTGACTGACACATTTGTCTAGTTGACAGACAATTCTACTTAAAACATTAACCCATTCTAGTAACTATTGTTTGTGACCAGATATGTAATTGCATATTCATCTAAACTCTTCATCTAACAGACAAAATACATGAACAGACAATGTTTTGTGTACACCAAGAATGGCCCAATTTAGTCTTTTGGTTCAAAGATTATGTTACCTTGAAATTTGAAGACTTTTGTCCCTTTTTTCAAAATATTACAATCCAAATTCCAAATACTGGTATTAGACCATTTGTAGTGGTTGGAAGTCCAAATTGTTAAATTTGGACTCCGTCCATATGAAAACAGTGGTTTGACTCCGTCAATACTGTTTTTTCCTACATCCGTGCACCGTCAATAAAATACACTCAACAGATTTTTTTACATATCAATTTAGTAAAACATTAATTAATTTATTATAAGTAATGTTTTCCGTTTAATATTTTCCCTAAATAATTGTGAAATAAAAAATACACATTTTGATATAAAAATAAATAAATTTCATTAATTTTTTTTAATGTTTTCAGTTAACAAAAATGAATTTAGTTCAAGTAAAGTTCGATTATTAAATATTCAGTTATTTGTGAAAATTTCATGAATTAAAAATTTGTGTTTCATCGTTTTGTAAACGGAAGAAAACTTCAACAGTTAACACTTAAGAATTTTTGTTTCATTTTATATATTACATATTGGTGTCATATGAAAGATCATAAAATTTTATGAATTTTGATATATATTTTGAAAAATTCAGAGAACAAATAAAAAAGTTACAAGAGTTTAAAACAATTTGGGGTTATAATGATGTCACCATGATGTCAGCGAAAACATGGTTTGGCCCAGCATGCAGGGTACGAAT